TTCATCCTGTACAGAAAAAATCAGTTAAAAATTTGAGCACTTAAACTAGTCAAAAATAGGTAAAATTTTAATTTCAAGACTTTTCTTTTCCTTTTTTGAAGAGTAATAGTTGTTTATTCTTACGTTCAAATCCAGGTTTGATTTTTTGCTCATTTTCTTTTAAACAAAATATGCCTTATTTAAATCCTGCAAATAAAAAGGAATTAATTCATCATTTATTTACTACTATTATTATTCTTATTAAATTATACTATTATTATTTAATTAGAATAATAATAGTATAATTTAATAATGTTAGATTACAATTTAATAATTAATACTATTATTAAATTCCCTATCCATAGAAAGAAAAATATTTTGTGAAGAGCAAACACTATCACGCTTGCAACGTTACGCCTCTGTTTCTAAACATTTTTGGTCCGGTGAGTAGCACTTATATTATAGGGTAAACCAACCAGTGAAGGAACACTACCAAGTGAAGGAACATTTCATATATATTGATTAAAAATAAGAATTTGAAAGTTTTTCTTTAGATTGATTGGTAACAATAGCTTACTGCCAAACAATTGGAAGTCATTTAGCAATGCTTTGGATTTGGTCAAATAGACTTGTCTGGAAAAAATTTTGAATTTGTTATTATCTCTGCAACACCCTGTTTCTTTGAAAAAATTATAAGGTGAGTGTTTGTATTTATATGTTTGAAGTGGAATTAATTGCATGCAATAGTTTTATTTTTCCTACTGTGAAAAAGAGAATTCAAAATATAGTTATTGAAGCTACGTTTTATTTTTTTTAAGCATCATAGCATAATAAAGTACTGAGATAAGGGGGTGTTTATTCACTGGATCACCAAACGATGAAAAACCAGTGAAGGAACAAGTGTTCCTTTACTGGTTTTTTTTCTAAGTTAATGAAAATAAAAGATAAACTTTAATTTTCTTGTACCTTTAGTGATGTTCCGCATCAAAAGTATGTTAAAAATACGAAAAACAACTTCTAACTAGTGAGGAAACTTTACTGGGCATAGATTGCCCAGTGAATGAACAGTAGGTGTTAATATGTTGACACTTTAATTTTCAATTCATGATTACAAAAATAAGTTAACATTTTCCAAGTATTTATATGTTATAATTTCAAGAATAGGCTTGTTTTTAAATATTTGTATGGCTGATAAACTCATAAAGATCATTAAAAAATAACCAAAATTAAGTGTTCCTCTACTGGGTGTTCATTCACTGGTAAGAGCTGTTCCTTCACTTGGTCTTCTTACTACTTGTTATTTGAACCTCCAAAACTTTAAAACAATATTATGTAAGTTCTCTAAAAATTTTTTGCATAATTTGCAATTAGTAACAAATATGTTGACATCGTCATTTAACTAAAATTACGAATTTTGAAATTAATATGATTTTTTAAAAGGCAAGCGAAGCTTAAGTGTTCCTTCACTGGTTAGTTTACCCTAGGTAAATATTGTAAGAATCTACAACCTTGATGAATACCTAAACATCATGTTTGCGTTCCTATAGTTCTTAGAAAACTCTAAGGTAACGAAACTAAGACTAAGTTCGATTTCGATTATTTAGTTCGAATGTTCGAATAAGAATATTCATTCATCCTGTCCGAATGTTAAAGGTGCTGAATAAAAAGTTTGAAATTGAAATTAAAGTAAACATTAAGAAATTACTTTTCCATCATAAAAACATAGAATTTAAAAAAAAAAATTATAATTTTTTTTTATAATTATGCAGATATAATTATTTAAGGCCTATGATTATTTTCATTTCTGTGAGAATTAGACTGAAGTCTATATTTCTGTTAAAATGTATGTAAAAATGTTGAAACTTTTTACAGCNCAGCAATAAATTTAGCCCCCCCCCCCCCTGAAATAGTGTCTAAATTTTCATAGTATATTTTTATTACTTTTAATTCTAAGAATATCTTATTTTATTAATTTGATTGGATATTAAAAGTAATTTGATTGCTAACGTCGCACTATGTCAACTGTTGGCCACGGTGCGGGAAGACAATCCATACCTATCCTAAAAATAAATGCCGAGTTATTACGATTTAGATATAGAAAAGTAGATTTTGATACATCAACCGTTCTCAATTAAACGCTTCTCAACTACCTATCAATAATTTAAAAAACGAATTTCTCTTAGTGCAATTGGGACAATACACAGCAATAAACAATTTTACTTTAGTTAAAAAATTTAAATAATATCATTTTTCCAATTAATAATAAAAATATTTAGATCAAATCTCTAAAATAGTTTCAGAATTACGCATGACACTATCAACGAAATGACTCTGTCGATGAAATGACCCTGTCGACGTAATAACCTTGGCAAAGATATGATCCTGTCGACGAAATGACCATGTCGACGAAATGACCCTGTCGATGAAACGGCCTGTCGACGAAATAACCTAATCGATGAAATGGTCTGTCGATGAAGTGGTGTCGATGAAATGGCTTGTCGATGAAGTGATTGTCGATGAAATTAACCAGACTTATTAGAATTAGATGAATTTTCTTAGAAACTTACTATTCCTAACATGTTTTCACTTTCGTTTAAAGGTTTGAAAAATGCATATTATGATCTTAGTAAAAATTTTACAGTGCATAAAAAGAACCAAATTATAATGCAATGTCTTACTTTTTTTTTTAAAAAATTTTATTTCTTTTTCTTAAAAAAAAATTCAAAATGAAAGCTATTTATTATTAGCTTTTTTTAAACTTTTTTTTCATAAACGTCTTGCAATTTTTGTTTCATTTCAGTAAATAAACTTTTAATTTGTTAGTTTTTACATTCTCAATTATTTTCTATGTTACAAAATACACATCAACAGCTTCAACATTTCTTCCTCGATCAATTAACTACTTTAATTTTATCAGAAAAAAAAATTGAAAACATAACTGGACACTTTTTCTTCCATTTGGAAATAATAAATTTGTCGGAAGGCAAGTTAGAAGTTTAATTTTGTAAAATTAATGGGAAATACCATAAAAATCCTATCCTTTCAAACTGAACTCATAATAAAGTAAAACTCGTTGCTTTCATGCATTTAAAACTCTTTCTTTTTCGGCAATTTAAATTTTAATCTTAAAATTAATTATGCTTTTGCATCAAATCGATTATTTTCTATCCAAAACAACTTCTTAATATTGTTAAATGAACTATTTTGTTTTAAAAATTTGACAAAAAACATGCTAATTTAGCTAATGCCAAGTTGAGGTTTCAGTTAAAAAGAATGATTGGAACCTGGTGAAAGGATCGTCGGTGACGTCGAAAGATGATGTACCTTGTTTATAGTGCCATGTACACTTTAAATATAAGATAAATTTTTTTTAAATAAATTTAGCAGTTAAATATCGAAATTTAAAAAGGAAAATATGGCTTCTGAAAATGCATAGAACGTTTACAAGGGACGATATATAAGTTAATTTCTCAAATTTTCTAAGCGAAACATCTTAGATATTTTCTATGATTTAAAATAGTGCCATGTTTGAAATGGAAGATTGTTCAAATATCCGTTATCAAATACCACAGTATTGCTCAAAAATTACCAAAACTGGGGGAAAAAAAAGTTTTAGCATGCGACAAATGTCCTTCTCACAGGAAAAATTAAGTTCTCCGACCTCACAAAACGTATTTCGTAAGTGAGCAGGAGGATAGGGTGTAAATGAAGTCGGGCTACAAACAGCTAAACTGTATAAGCCACTTGCGTACTGTTATTTAGTTATATAATGTATTTTTTCGGATGCCTCATGTTTGATTTCCGATTCATCGTAAAACAATACACAAAAAACAATGCCTCATTTAAAGTGTAGCTAGTCATGTCAGATGAGTTACTAGGTACAAGTACAAAATTGTACGTTATATACAAAAAAAACCTTACTACTTATCCGATCGCTTCAGGATTAGTCTCATTCAATTAAGCGTACGGCAAGTGAGTAAAATAAGTACCAGGATTGCATGCTTTTTTCTAAAAATTAAATTATAAATTTTTTAATGAAACGATACCGTTGACAAAAACTATCTTCATTGATAGTTAAAACGAGTTGCAGTTGGAAAACTATGGTTAATTTCCATGGTTTGTCAAGGGGAGCTTTGTGAAGGGAAATGTTGTTTAACTCTCAAAAGTTGTCACAAAGAACCACAGAAATGAGTTTCTTTTAATACTTGTCTTCGTAATTAGATTTAAAATTCCAAAAAGATGTATTAAACGGGAAAGAGTTTTTTTCTTGTTCCTTTAAGACGAATTTGCTTTGTCGTTAATTTTTTTCCTAATTGGAATTTGAAATTAAAAAAATAATAAATTGGATAACTTTAATGCGTTAAACTCAAATAAATTTTGTTTTTCCATAAAATTTCTATTTCGCAAAGAAAAAAAAAAGAAAAAAAGACTAGAAAGCAATCATTAACGTTGGATATTACGTGTAGGGAACAGAACCCCTATTTTTTAAAAAAAGAATGAGGAAAACTTCTGAAATATTGAAGAAAATTTCTCTAAGGAAAGTTTATCCACGTATGTTCTTTTAAAACTTGATTTGACTGTTAAACTAAGAAAAAACATACTAAAAAGTTATTTTTAAATATTTTATTTTGATCTTTAAAACAAAAAATCATGCTTATAAACTTCTTAATAATTGGTAACGGAATGAGTATTGAACAAAAAGAGTTTATTTTGCAAGACTTTCTTGAAAATTTAGTAACATTTAATTGCCCATTAAGTGACGTTATTTAAAATTAAATCAAGATTAACGGTATAGCATTTTTTAAATATTAAGAATTTTTATAAAAAGAAGAAACTATTTATTATTGTATTGCACTTTCAAAAGTAAATTTAAAATAAAACGCATCACTAATTTTTACTCTTGCAAATATGTAAAAACGTGTGACCTTTATTAATGTTTTCTTTAAAATTCATGAGATGGCGCTTCTAAACTCTGCAGCAGGAGAATTTTTTGTGTATATTCATTGTTGAATATTTGTACATTATGATTTGGCAATATTAAAGTTGTTGATGTTTTCAGGATCGTGCTGTGTGATTTGTGTGTGATGAAATTTTATTGTTTATTTTTTTTTCCAACGTAGCGGCTAATTGCCGTGGTTCCCATTAAATTACGTTAATTATTTTTCTGTGTGAAGTTCAACTGTTATATTAATTTATTTATATAGGATTTTGTAAAAAAGTTCATTATGAATTCCTGCGAAGACGACGATACAGATGAAGTTGTTTTTGAGGTTTTTAGTTTCGTGTTTGTAGTAACACATTGTTTTTATTAAAAATTAGTTATTTTTAATATTTGTAAGTTCAAACTGTAACGAATTATAGCTGTTCTAATAATTTGTTATTTCATTACTCGTAAAAAAATTTTTTTTCATAAAAAAGTGACACATTTCCTTATTACGTAGTATGATATCGAAGTATTTTGTGTTAGATAGGTCTTGAGCTGAGGTATTATACTGAATTGATTAAATATTTGACTTATTACTTTCTTGATAAAGTTTTTGAAAATTTTGTTAGCTTTAATTTAAATTTGTAATATTTAATGTTTTTGTATTTTGTTAGCAGTAGTTGAGTCTGCTCGTCATAGTGTCAGAATTCTGTTTACGAATAAATTGACTGTATACCACGAAATCGAGTCTTTATATAGATATGATACTAACTAATAGGTTTCCATTACCATTCTTTAATCAGAATTTTATATGCAACTACGCAGCATTTTTTCATAAATAACAAATATATATATTATCTCATTTTTATGATAAAATGAGCATTATATATTTAGATTAAGTATGCATAAAAAGTTTGTCCGATAAAAAAATGTTTGCCTGCAAATTAATAGCTTAAAGGATTAATCTAAAATATTTCGATTTTAAAGTTATAGGAACTTTTGCTAAAAATTTCTACAAGTCTTGTATTTTTGGAATTTGTAACTTCTACAACTATGTTCGCTAATACTTTATTTCATAAAAATTTTGTTGAATGCATAAAGAAATTGAAATTAAGCTATGAACTTACATGAAATTGACTTTTCTTAAGTTTATATCTGAAAATACTTATTGGCAGTGAAAATGATTATTTTTTTATAAATATAAAATATTTACGTATGTTGATTTTTAAGTAAGGGCCGTTTAAAAATAAAAAGCAAAGCAAAGAAAATTTTCAAGAAACAAATTTATTTTCAGATTCTACATACGTTTCTCTTTTTTCTCCAGCATAATTGTCAAGTTTGTTTAAACACTTACTACACCTTACAAGTAGATTTAGAATACCCTCTTCATACAAACTTCTGGTGTTCTCCGTTAACTAAGAGGTCATGGCCGTTTTTACATATTCATCATTGTTGTGATAATTGCCACCAAAATTATGTTTGAAATATCAGGAAAATCACTGAGCATGCAAGGTCTGGGCTGTAGGCAGGGGTGGTCCAAAACTTCCTAATCTAAAGAGACCATTAAAGCTGGTATCTGAGTTGCAGAGAGAGCCATTGTCATAAAGTGGCAAAATTCATCGTCAGCAAGACTGGTATTTTGCTACTTTTTTGCCATTTAATGTATGTAGCAGACAGGTTTCTGCTGACTAAAATGCATCGCTGGCCATATTGTGTGCGTGGTGGGCCATTTGTTAAATTTGAACTTTTTAAAGACATTGTTGCAATGGAGCACAGTTGTTTCCAAGGAATGTCGAGCCACGGTATTCACACTTGTTGCAACGCACCAGTCACCTATTAGTGTACACGACATAAGGATCCTTGCTTAAACAAGCCTTGTACATATCAAAATATCTGATGTTCTCGAAAATATCATGTATTTCTGACAGGGTTGGGTTTTTGCCGTCAAAAACTGGTTTTTGACATGACAGTGGTAAAAACCGGGGTTATAACGGTAAAAATAGTCAAAAACCTACTGTTTTCTTTAATTTATGGCATATCGCAGACAATATCAGGGTTGGCAGGTTTTTGACATGTGACAGTTTTTGACAGTTTAAACCATGGTTTAAACCGTCACGTCAAAAACCTCACTGTCAAAAATGTCGAAAATGTCAAAAACCTATATTCATATGTGAAATTTAATTAATACATAAAATTTATATATTTTTTAAAGGATAGTGTTTCTAAATATGTTCTAGAAAAAATAAATTTAAAATTTTGAAGAAACTCCTATATTTTGAATAGTAACCAAAATCT